CATCTCTTTCAGGTGGCCATGGTAGAGCTAGATCAGCTGACAGATGAAAAGTCAACACCAGATGGTTTCAAAAGACTTATGTCTCAAGTGCTTGCTTTTTTTCTACCTCAGGGAAAAGAAAGTGGACCAATAATGCAGTGTCTACCCTCCAACAAAATTTTTAGGAATGCCTCATGGAATACAACCTGTAAGATGCTCAACAGCAAAGGCTCTGACCAGGTCTAGTATTCCTGGAATGATCAAATACATATGAAAAATGCTACATGTTCTCTTCTTTGTGATTTACAGTGTACATCAGTACATTAAAAGTTCTGAAAAGTATTGCAGTAATGACCTTTTCTTAACTTTGTTAACAGTGTTTCTCAAAATGACTTGATGGTAAAACCTTTTTTTTTTAACATATCACTGATTAATTTCCTGAAGTATCCTTGTTTTGAGCAGCACATTTTGAGAAATGTTTTTTGTTACATTTGTCTTACGGTCTTGGATTAGAAAGACAAAACCCATCAATGCCATGGAGATCATAGAAAATGATTTCATGGTATAAATAAATTAACACAAGGTGTGGACACAACATTATTCTAAAAAAAGCCTTTATTATTTACTTTAAATACTTATTTCCAAAAATAATTTGAAATGATAAATGTGTGAGTTGTCCTCTGAGTCTGGATGAAAATGGCAGGGACAATCATTCAGTTACACTGACTTCTGGTTTTCAAGTGGGAATGACATGAACACTCATAATGAACCTCAATTAAAATCACACACACACACACAATTCCAAAATTTAGCGAGGTATAGTGGTGAACAGGATAAAAAAATGTTGGGTAATTAAGTAATCTTTTTGGACTACACTATTGAATGACAAAATACTATTGGAATTTATGAATGCCTTAGGGAGACATAACAGAGTAAATGTTATAAAGGGTAAGACTGGAGAATCCAGCTTGCTATGGAGATGCAGGTTGAAAGGGAAAGAAAGTGAAGGAAGGAAGGGACTGGAGCTCTTTATCAGGGTGTAAGGAACAACTTTTGGGCTCAGTAGCACTCCCATAGCACAATGGAAATGGGAGGGAGAAAAAGACTAAACAAGTCTGAAGTAATGAGCAGGAATGCCAGGCCTGGTTAAGAACAATAGGTTCTACCCACCAAAACCCCCACCACCTGCCCCACCAACTCCATTCTCTCTTTTATTTGTAAGATCCAAGATCTCACCACCTAGCTGAGAACCCCATGACTTGACATTTCAGTACGCAGATGTAGGATCCTAGAAATAAAGAGTAAAGAGAGTGAAAAGATTAATGATCCATGGGGGAGAAGTAGAGGTGGTCCATCCAAAAGGAGAAAGGAGTGAGCCCTCGGCCAGCATGGAAAGGGGATGAGAGGGGACAGGTCAGAGGCTCCATTTCTGACTTATTTTATGACTGTAAGGAATATTTCTCCCATGGGGTAGAAGGCAGTGAGAACATGAGATCATTTCTGTGAGAAAAATATTTCCTTTTTTTTGCCTTTCCATATTCCAAGCAAGGCTAGAGAAACCCAGTTTGGTTATCAATTTTCCATTATCACCTTTCCAATATTGCCTATTCTCCCCTGACTCCCTTTCCTGAACAAAGAGAGAATTTGGCTGCAGTTTAAGAGTCTTGATGGACAACTGTAGTTAGTTGGGGAAAGGAAGTAAAAACTATGGCAGAAACCCCACAAACAAACGAAGTGTCAGAGAAGGGATCCTGTGCTCCTCTCTTGCTCTGGGCTGGTGGAAACTCCAGAAATAACTGGGAATAGTTCAATAAACAGGGGATCTATGTAATCTTTGCCTTATAGCACATGGTTTGGAAGAGCCAAGTTTAGACAAACCTTTCTTCAGATGGGGACGAGCAGGAGAGTGGCAATGGCCGAATGAAATAACTCTGTGGGGTATTCTAATGACAACTTCATAAAAGCTCAGGCACTCAAGGTGAAGTAAGAAGTCCACTCTGCCTACAAATGGGGTTTAGATCTAAGAGAAGAACAGAGGAGCCTTGAGATTGGAATAAGGAGAACATGGACTTGTCAGCTGGAAGTCTTGGTGAGACAAGGACAATCTTAACAGGTGGGGTAGAAATAAAGGCCAAGGAACAAAAAATAATGGGAAAGAGGTACATCTTATGAGAGAGCAACAGAAGACAGAAAATGACTATGACTAGGTAGCTCACCATATCCTAGTAACCAGACAGATATAAGGCCTCCACAATTGGCAGGAAGAAGAGAGATAGAATACAACTGAATGTAACTGAGAAATCAATAATTTGATCCAGTATCATAAAATATATTGAGTTATGGAAAATAAAGAAATATGAAATTCTTATTCATTATCCTGGAAGGTAAGTACAGCTCTGTGGCCATGCAGCGAGAGGGCACCAAGTGTGAGAAATAGAAGCACAAGTTCACTTTAAAATCTAGCATAGCTCAGTGAAATAAGCCAGAAAGAAAAAGAAAAATACCGGATGGTCTCACTCATAGCAGGAATTTAGAAAACCTAAGTAAGGGACCTGGAAAAAGACTAATTATAGTAAAGTAAAAATCAAAACCAACAGGCAACTATAAACCAGAGACATACTACAGAGGGGGAGAAGGGAGTAGGAGCAAAACAAGTGGAGGTGGGAATTTTACAGGGACAGTAACCAAGATGAAAATGCATACATTGTGCAAACATGTAAAATGATGTAAAAAATACATATAAAATAAAAATGAAAAAAATAAATTGAAAAAAAATCTAGCATAGACACAAAAGACTACAACCACTTATTCTGAGAAAGTGCTTTCATAGAGGTTATTCCAACCCCACACAGTCTTCTTTTAAATACAGTTAAATAACTCACTAATAGCTTTTTTAGATGAAACAAAAAATGATGTATATTGAGTAGTCTTAGTGAACCTAGAAAGGCTTGAAAAAGTAATTTAGTTGGACTAAACCAAATGCCTTATGAGTGATAGGACAAATACCAAGAAAATTGATGCAATAACATAGAGAGGTATTGGTAGCTCAGAATTCATACTTTGAGTTTTTTTCTGCTTAGATAGCTGACTGTAAAATAATATAGGAATTTTTTTGTGAGTTCATCTCCTACTGATGCCTACAACATGAGACATAGAAACTCAGAACAATACTGGAGAGTCTAGAAAACAAAAATCTCAAAGGACTGGAACATTCCAGGGTGATACAAACTAAACACTAAAATGGAGGTGGTAATTTGGCCATTGTGATGAGTTAAGTTTGAAAGAGGACAAGTTTTTTCAAAGAAATTCAGTAAGTTGCTAATTTGCAAATAATAGAAATGAACTCTGTATTAACAATTTTCCAGTAATGTAACAAAAAGTCTTATTTTGGGGTGATAATTAGCATAATTGTGTTTAAAATATTTTAGTGGAGACTGATTTTAGCCTTTTGTGAGATACAAGCACTCTCTTTTTTCTGGAATCCCATTGTTTTATATTAGGGCCCCTTGTACCCTGCCAGAGAGGTATTTCAGAGTCCTTTCGCTCAACTCCCCGAAGAGCAAAATTCTTAAAAGATAAAATCCTTCTGTACTGCCTAATCCAATAATGTTTCAAGGTGATATTAAAATACTGAAAATAGAATAATATAAACCCCTGCTTTGGGAAGAAAAATGTTAAAATCAGAAATACAAAATCTCTTCTCAAGATTAAAATCAGCTTAGTTGAAGAAAAGCTCTGTAGCAAACCACTTATATATATATATAAAAAACTTGCTTATAAAGGTACTATGCTATAAATTGACTTCTCTCTGCTGGTAGGAATGCTGAAGAATATAGAATATTTAATGTCTGAGTTGTTAAAACAACTTAAATGTTGACTAGTGATATCATGGTAAAGTTCTAAAATAAGATTAAAGTAGACAGTTTTTGCTTTTATCAAAAGTAACAAAGACTCTCCATTGACTTTCTTGATACTCAATATAAAGTGCTAACAACTTGGTGTTGACAATATATTTCTCTACCATCTTCTCATTACTTTTTTGATGTGTAACCTCTTTGCCTCAATATTTGAATAGACTTCACGATGTTGAAGAATGTTTATTTAATTGCAATAAGTCATAAAATATGGTTGGTAAAAAATGTAATGAGGGTTCACAAAAGATACATACTAATCATTTCAATGTAAGTAAACTTGCAATGAATTCACTATGCTTTGTTCCCCTTTCTCCTCTTTGAATATCTCTCTGTATTTTTGTTTTCAAACATTGTAATAATCATAGAAGTTTTTTTTGTGTGTGTTGAAACATTAATTTACTCTGCTTACCCTCTTGGTGTAGTGGTTTAAAACAAGCTTGTTAAAAAATGTTTTTGACAGTTTCTAAATCTAACCCCAACATGAAGTCAGGATGGATCAAAACAGATGAAGTGTTTGAAAAGAGAAAGAATGTCACATAAAAGATAGCTTTGATTCTTCTACAATTAAATGGTGCTGTGGTTTGGATTAAATACACACTATCCTACAGACAGACTCTAGGATGAAACTGAGCTGATCTCTTAGGTTTCAAAATCAGTCAAAACCTTTAACTTAATAAAAATAATTGCATAGAAGGTATTGGTAAATAGTTGATCTTGTGTCAAGAAATGGGTTCACAATACTTGTGAAATGTGTTTTTCTCTCATAAAAATATGTGTATGTTAGTGGAAATATATTTTTAATAAGATTAGGTTGTGTCTGAAAACATACAGTGAGGATATGAATTCTCCACCTCCACCTTTTCTTATAATAATGAACATTTGGTGTCACAGCTGACCCTGTTTAGCTATGAGTAGCGTAATCTTGAACATTTACTTATCTCTTTCGTTGGTGTCCTCTGTTGTAAAATGGATTATAGTAAGAAATAAATATACATTAACATATATGTAAGGAAAACACTAAGAACAATTTGTGATATGATTACCAATCATATCACGTAATATGATTACTAATATTTCTGAGTTTCTTTCCTTCTATCATGTTTTCAGGACAACGGAAACAATGAGAAGTTGGCAAGACTTAGCGATAGACACATACAAGTAAGACATGGACCCTACTTCAATGAACTTACCATATGAAAGATAGTTGTGCTGACCAATAGATAAAAGAACACTTGACAGTTATCTATAAATATGTCAAACTTGTCTACCCAAATCAATGACCTTTTACCCATGACTAAAATTTTGCCAAAAATCATAAGGATTTTCTTTTCTATAAAGCATAGTGGAGAAAGACTATCAGATGTGACAAAATGGTAATAGAGAAGGTAGGCATACAAAGAACAAATGTGGGACATCTTAGTAGCATGGAGGGAAAAGGCCAAATACTTGACATTAAATGAATGAATTTTGACTTCATTCTTTGCAGAGTGTATGTGTGAGTGTTTGGGCAACTGAAATTCTCTTTGAATTCCAACTTTCTAAAATAATATCAAGTTTTTACTGTGCTAAGCACAGTGACAAGGGCTTTGCAAGTGGCTCCAATTAGTAGGCATTATCAATGTCCTTATTTTACATCTGAGAAAACTGAGGCCAGGGAGTTTATGTAACCTGCCTAAGATCACACAGCTGTTAAACACTTTTGCTATTATTTTCAGGCAAGTAGCATGATTCCAGAATCTTTGCTCCAAATTCAAACAATATAGATGGAAAGACTTCCTTCACTGTAGATTTCATATTTCTGAACAATTTGAAGACAGGACTGGTTCAAGTATTTTAATGACAAGAATATTCTGGAAATTTTGCTGATAAATTTGTGCTCTGATCTAAACAGTAAAATGTTCAAACTAGAGCCCTCTTTCCTGGCTTCTGCTCCCTGTAAACTGAAACTCAACATGGATAACTGCCCTCAGGTCCTTTAAACAATGATATGTGTTAATTATGCTCATCTGGATTCTCCCAGGCACAAAATTAGTCCCACAGGAAAATTTTATTTTCTTTTTTAAGGGTATTGGATTACTCACTTGTTCCCTGGCACAAAAACTTACTGAATGATACCCAGGTGACTTTCCATAGTCATATCTTATTATGTTGATAGCCATTAAAAAAATGTTCCTTTCTAGACAGAATTTCAATAATCTTTGAGTCCCATTGAGTATTGTCCCTATTTTCAAATGAGGAAACTGAGTCCCAGAATAGTTATAATGAGTGCATAGTCCTTTCCCAAGGAAATTTACATTCCATGAAAATATTTGAAAATTTTGGAGCTTCCAGTCATGCTAACTGCCTGATTTCCTTTCTGCCAAGAAGCCCCACCACTGTTGGTTGTATTAAATGAAATAGGAAGTACAAGTATATTTGTGACATCTTATTTGATACGTTCCCCAACAATGTGAAGGGAGTGTATAGTTAAAACTCCCGCATACCTCTGCACACAAACACACAAACCACAAAGCAACAACAACAAAACAGATACTTAACTGAACATATGAGGAAATAAAGTTGTTTAACTCAATTGGAGGGAAAAAATAACTAAAATTATTTGACTCCCTACAACCAAATAGTCATTTTCAACTGGTTGTTCTGACTTTTTATAGACAGCTAAAGTCTCATGAAAGCATAAAATGAGTTTATTACAACTTTTTTTTTTTTTTTTTTTAGTCTCTATCAGACTTCCTTCAGGCTCTAGACACATGCTAATGATTGGGATAAAACTGATTTTGAATGGAGTTCCCACTAAACCAATGAATGGTGGAGACTGGAAAGTTATATGAAAGACAGCCAGCTCTTTCTGCAAAACCACACAGCAGTACACAAAGCCACAATGGTGAAAATTGCACGCATCTGGAAGGAAGGCATAAACTAGCATGTTATGGGGAAATCGGGGAGGCCTGAGGAATGGGGGGAGGGGTCAAAGATTAAAAGAACTCAAAGGATGAAGGCAGAACCCTAAAAGAAACCAAAGAAAAAAATAAAAGCAAATTCTAAACAGCTCCCCTTACAAATGACTTTCATATGCACGCTAAGAAGTGAACTGAAAGAAAACAAATACCAAGAGATATAATAGACACATTATGTAACAAGGATTACTAAGGAGAGGCTAAAACCAGAAACAGACTCAGAATAATTTGAAGATGGAAAGTTTATATAAGAGATAGACACAACAGGCTTGGGGGAATTATGCCAACGTGGGTCAAGGAGGATATTGTGTCTAAAGGGAGAAAGAATGTCACATAATAAATAAGTTGGCAGAGGGACAAAATATATTTGGATGGAAATAAAAAGATAAAAGGAGCATAGGCTTAATAATAGGAAATTATTATAGGCCATCTGGGTCAGATAAAAAGGCAGCTCAGAGTGTTTATACAGATAAAGATGCCTAAAAAAGCAGAGTATAATCTGGATGGCTATACTGTATTGTGTTGTGTTGTGTTGTGTTACAACAAAGTGATATACTAGTTGCCCGCCTGGAGAAGACAATGGATTCAATTAGAGCCTAGTTTTTGCATTTCTTCTGGAGACCAGAAGGCTAGAAAATGGCTAGTACACAAGGATGCAGGACAATTTGGGGCAGGCTGTCACCAGAGAGTCATTTTTCCCTTCCTTGGAATGTTCACTGGAGTCTCTCAATTCTCCGTGATCTCACTCTTGCTGTCCAGCCACCACCCTGGCGTCCCCGCTCTAATTTGACACTGTTTTTGTTAACCCCCACCCCCATCAGTCTCCTCACAGACTTCGTCTGTGCAGCTACATTGCTTCTACTCCATTCTTTAAGTCCAGCTCCTAAATTCCTACAGCTGGGTGCCCTCATAAAAACATAAATGGCCAATCCCAGCAGCCTCTGGCCATGAGCCTAGTGAGAGGGCTTTGGCCTGCGGGTTGTAGCCAGGCGGCCTTGGGAATTGGGAACAAAAAGGCACTCTATAGCTGGGATTCTAGCCCACTTATCCCTAGACCCTCTAACAACAGCATCAAGTAAATAACCAAAATTTGTTATTTTTTTGTATTGTGACAACCCTGTTGACTTCCTGACATCACATTCAGAATTTTGAGGATTTTTACCACAGGATGATAGATTTTTGCTTCTTGATTTAACTTTCTCTTCTGGGTTCAAAGGCTGCTTCTGTCACCACACATACCATGCTCTATTTTATTGGGTTGTTGGAAAAGTCATGACATATTTTTTCTTTGAAAAACAGAAAAAATGTGTCATGGCTTTTCTGACAACCCAGCAGATGAATAAGGAGGCATCCCACATTGGACTCAACTTTACAAAGTCAGAGACTGAGTCTCTCATCTCCCACTCACTCCAGTGAGAGTGGCCTATGTAAAAAAACCCCAGGAAAAATAAATGTAGACTAGGGTATGGAGAAAATGGAATCCTTGTACACTGTTGGTGGGAATGTAGACTAGCCCAGCCTCTATGGAAAACAGTATGGATGTTTCTCAAAATATTAAAAATAGATCCACCATATGATCCAGAAATTCAACTTCTAGGTACTACCTAAAGAATACGATATCAATGAACTCCTGCCATTTGCAACAACATGGATGAAACTGGAGAGGATTATACTAAGTAAAATAAGACAGAAAGAGAGACAAATACAGGATGATTTCACTCATATGTGGAATAGAGGAAACAAAACAAACAAAAAATTCAAAAAAACCTCATAAATGAACTGACAAAAATAAACGAAAATAACCTCTAGAAATATAATGGCAGAATTGAGGGGACTAGAAGGAGGGAGCCCGAAGGTGGGAATGAAGGTGGGAGGGGACTCAGTGGTTTAGGGCAAAGGACTATAAGTCTTTGGGGGGGAGGGGTGTGGTGTGGTGACAGACATCTCAGGAGGCGTGAACTTATTCCCCTATATCATAGAAAGTGTTGTAAACCAATGTTACCTCAATACAGGAAAAAAAATAACTTAAAATCTCATGGAAGGTCCTTGTATATTTTTCTCATCACTTCTGCAAAAGTGTCAAGTTACTTGTGAATCAATTCCTCTGGGTTTCTTGTAACACCTAATGGTTTTGGTTAGAATTCTATGTCTTGGAGAAAATGTGTATGAATTGCAATGATCTCAGCCTACTAACAACATGTTTTAGTCTTATAGTTCCCAAAAGGCTGTATCATGATCACCTGGGGAATTAAAAAATTAAAATGAAAGAAAAAGAAAAGAATAGCTCAGATTCCAGTTCCAACTCTGGTCTTAACAGAGTCAAAAAATCTACGGCACAAAAGAATCTGCATTTTTAATCCTCACGTTTCCAAAGCATAGCTTGATTTAGGAATGACTGCTTTGACCAAATGAATTTCTTAAATAAATAAAAGTCCACTTATTTGGTTTAAAAATATCCCTAGTTAACTTCTGTACTATTTTTAGAGACACCAAAAGTCACAGATGACATGTAGAGTTAGTTTTAGTTTAGAGTAATATGTAATAACCTCTGCTCACTGGAACCTTCACCCTTGAAGGAATAATGAGCCTAATTAGTAACTACAGTTCTTTTAAATGATAATTTTGTCTCTTATGTGGGCAATTACTGAATAAGATTCATTAATATTTAGCTCTATCCTCATTCATCCTGTATAATGATAATGATCTATTAGTTCATTTTTCAATAGTGCCTCTGGGTAGGGAGGATGTGTATAGGGCCATGTGCTGAACAAATTACCCTCAATAGTAATTGTCAATTCTTTGTGTTGTCTCCTTAAGGGATTGCTGGATGTGACTGGACTGTGACTGAGGAAAGAGAGAAGTATAGGGAATAGAGTAGCTGCTTCCAGATTCTAGAATATAGAGAAGAACATAGTTTCAGAGCTCATTCCAAGAGAAACCAACTGTCTGCATTTGAGAGGCTTTTGTTTTGTTTTATGAGTAAAGAAAAGGGGCACATAAAAAATGATGAAAATCTCCATTTTAAGGCGTTTTCTTTTTCTTCAGAGAGATAAATTATGTTGCTATAACTTCTGGTAAAATACAGTTGGCTATATAGCAGAGTTGAAACCAAAAGTTACTCTAAAAAGGTGAAACCAGCTTCAAACTACACAAAAAAAGACTAATGACATATTGCTCCACCAGAT